GCGGAAGGACTGGCCACACCCGAAGCCACACACCTGCCGCTGATCAGGGCTCGTCGGGGGAGCTACTTAGGAGAGTCTGGAGCTCCCACCGACGCGGGATCATTCCATGAGACTCCACGTTAGTCTTCTGCTTAGCTAAAGTCTGAGTGTATGCCTACTGGAATTAAGTGTCTTGACGACTGCCTCTGTCATTTTCCCCTCAGGAGGAGCGTGGAACATCGGAGGGCAGCAGGCACGGGTGTGTGTGGACACACGGCAGTGGAGAACACGGAGCACGGACTTTTTGGGAAGACACGACACGGGAGTCACGGGAGAGCACGGGGATTTACTGTTATTGTTTCCATCACTGTAAATAAACGCACTGTTTATACACAGAGTACCGCGCCTGGGTCCTCCTTCCCCACACATCCCCATGGTCTGCCAGCCAGACCGTGACAAAAGGGGGAATTGCGATATTATTCTGTTATTATATGTTACCTTATATATGTAATCAAAGTAGTTGAAGGATGATACTGCTGTAGATCATATTATACCCTTTAATATAGAGTGTGTGATCTGTATGTAGTTTAGTTCTCATTATACTTTTGAGTTGAAAGAACATATTCACTGATTAGTTTATTAGATAAGTGTGCATCACTCTGTATCCTTGATCTGCTGTGAATGTATTACATGCTTAATTGTTGAATCATGAAGAGAAGGTTGTAAGCAGGAGACTCTGTGTTGAAGACAGGGAGATAGACAGACCACATTCCACACCCCCACCTTACAGAAAGCAGAGGAACAACTGCCGAGGTCATAACTTAGGCGCCGTAAGAGAGAAAGAATGTTAATGTTGGTCTTTTACGACTAGGTGGGGGCCACTAGAGACTATAAAAAGCTGAGCAACCCGTCACCATTTTGAGACTTGCTGTGACCCTCTTCAGGCATGTCTCCCCATCATGATGGTCCTTATGCTCTTAAGTGTTGAATTGTATGGAAATAAATGATTGTTGATTGAGCATAAATACACCGAGTATTGTCCTTTCCTTCAGCCAAAGATTCAAAGAATTGGGAGATTTCAACACTCTGTAAGCTAGAAGTGCAAGATATGGGTCTTTTGCCTTCTTTAGCAGGTTTTTCACAGTTTGGACATGAACGCTCAGGCCTCGCCATTGCTCTGTGCAAATCTAGGACTGCTTGTTACATGTCTGAACCCATACGTTGCTGCAAAGTCTTGAACTGTTGTCCTGAAAACTGAGGTCCCGTTGTCTGTGTAGAAAAGCTCTGGAATTCCATGTCTGGAAAAGACAGATTTTAGGTGTACTATAACATCTTCCGATCTGGTGGGGGTAAGTTATGCTACTTCCACAAATTTCGAGTAGTAGTCCACCAAAAGCACATAGTTGCTGTCATTGAGTGTAAAAAGGTCTGCACCAACTTTTTGCCATGGCCTCTCCGGGAGTTGGCTTGGCATTAAAGGTTGTACTGGGTTAGTACGCTCTTTGATGCAAATGGTGCAGTTTTCACAAGTTCGTTTATTTGCCCACTCAGACCAGGCCACCACACTGCCTCTCTGGCTCTCTCTCTGCATCTAGACATTCCCTGGTGCCCCTCATGTAGGGCACTTAGGACAGAGTGGCACATAGCAGTGGGGATTACTAGT